GCAATTTTTCTGCACAAAGTTCTTGAAATTTGGTTACAGTTCAATATTACGTTAATTGTATTGCGTGGGCCGCAAATAAATAGAGGGCCTCTTCCGATTATGGTCGAGACGATTTGTCCCATGCTTTCCAATCACTCCCTCCCAAGTTGTATCATCATGACTCACTTTGGAATTATGGTCACCTAATGCTCGTTCCCGAAGTGCCACTAGGAAGGGAGATCACGAAAGGTGACTGTCTCATCAACTTTGCTTGCGTCCCTCTTTAATGGGGGCATAGTTGGGGAGACTACACCACCAATTTGCTCACCTCTATTTGATAGGGAGGATAAGGTTCCGTTGCTTCCCACACACTTCATTACGTTTCCCAGGCTGACCACGCGCAGTGTTTTTTAAATCCTTTATATTAAGTTCACTTGCTTGCTTGCGTGCGCGCTTATGACCGTGCAAATCTTTCGGTCGTTTTTTAACCCACTTCCCGTGATCCAATCGAGCTGACATTTTGCACACAGACTCGTTGTGCGTGACAATGTATTTTCGTGAAAAAAAATTCCAAAATTTTACACTTTTTAGGAAAAAATAAATTATATATAATTACCAATTGCTTAATGGTGGCAGGCAATCATTTTACCCATAGGTGGCAGACATCTCAAGCCAGAGGACGAGAGGACTCTAGCCGCCACGCATATCAAGGATTTATAGTGAAAAACTTTGTTTTTACGGGTTCACTTTTTTTACTGATCCACCTGATGTCATCCGTAATGAGTAGGCCATTGTGTGATCCAAATTTGTGCTAAAATAATAATAAAAAATACCTGAAAATGTCTCTTATTAGCATGAATGTACACATATCAATCATCACCTCCATGCTGCAGACAAATTTCCACTTCCAGGCTGAGTCGCGTTGTGCTGCACAGAGACAGCTGCCACTGGGCGTGCACTTCGAATGCATAAGAAGAGATGTGATGTCAAGCTCTTTCGATTTGCTGAGGCATTTGAGCGCCGTATCAATGCAAGATGTTTTAATATTTCCCTGTGGCCTACATAGCTTCCACAGCCGTGATGGGTACGCAGACCAGACGAACTCTGGAAACTCTGGACGATGAAGGAGATAATACACCATCTACAAAATCCCATTACCTGGGAATAAGGAAGCTTATTGCAGCCTCAGTTCAAAGATTACATGCCGTGCACAGACGGGTGGTGGTCGTGGGGATGCTGAGGGAGTTGCCTCGTAAATGTTAAATGAGACAATGGCATGTGGTCGTGAATGCAATCTTAAATACCATCGTGAAGGGGAACGTATGTATGTTGAACTTCTTTCACGCCGTTGCGTAGCCAACCGGGACAATTGGAGGTGTGTGGGGGAAGGACACAAAACTAGACACGAAAGGCAGTTATAAAGAAATTAGTTTCCAATCTAGATTGAAAACTGAATATTTCCAATGGCGTCTTATTGGAAAGAACAGCGTTCCAGATGGCAGCAGAAGCGCATCTTAGATGCGATCTAGTGACCGTCTTTGTTCGATGTCAAGCCAAAATCCGCTGCTGTGAGGATGAGAATACTAGTGACCTCGTGTCAGACCCCCAAGATCACGTGTCCAAATTTGCTATGGTACAATGTGACAATGTTTGTGGGTGGTGGTGGGAAGGGTGGAGCGGTGGGGGGAGAATGTTGATAGAAGCTCATAGATACTCGACATATCTTGACAGAGTCCCATCAGTGAGTTTGTTCGACAGGCCAAAATAGCTTAAAATAGACAATAGAAATAGAGAACAGATATGATAGTGTGGTAGAGAACTGGGAGGACTTGCATGTATATGGTAGCAGTGCTTGACTTAAAGCGTTCGTGACTGCAGGAATTAATATTCTTTGGGTCTTTTGGTAAAGTCATGTAGATAAGTTCAAAGAAAATTGCAAAAAATAACAAAAAAACTATGACGTTTCAATCGCAACACAAGCGTTCGTCATCAGGAATAAAAAAGATGGAGGCAGCTGCTGAGGCAGATTGTTTTAAAGGTTTAAAATGGGTGTAGCTCAAGGGTCGTAAACGAATTTGGCGGGGTTAGTGATGTTAATGTGAGAAATTAGGATGTTAATGTAAGATTGGAGAGCACCCTCCAACCTTACATTGACATGCTAATCTCTCATATTAACATAGCCACTTCCGTGCCCTCATTGTGGAGGTCACCCTCCGATCTTACATTTACGTGCTAATTTCTCACTTTAAGGTGAGTACTTTGTGCTCGATAAATACTGCTATAGAGTCAGAATGTACTACTGTAGTGATAGCAGGTACCACCACCGTCGGTATGTACTGCTGTAATCATAGCAGGTATCACCACAGTCAGTATGCACTGCTGTAATCATAGCAGGCACCACCACAGTATGCACTGCTGTAATCATAGCAGGTACCACCACAGTATGCACTGCTGTAATCATAGCAGGTACCACGTCAGTATGCACTGCTGTAATCATAGCAGGTTCCACCACAGTCAGTATGCACTGCTGTAATCATAGCAGGTTCCACCACAGTCAGTATGCACTGCTGTAATCATAGCAGGTATCACCACAGTCAGTATGCACTGCTGTAATCATAGCAGGTACAGCCACAATATGCACTGCTACAGTGAAAGCAGGTACCACCAAAGTATGCACTGCTGTAATCATAGCAGGTACCACCACAGTATGCACTGCTGTAATCATAGCAGGTACCACCACAGTCAGTACGCACTGCTGTTAGATTTTTAAGAGTAGTTTTGAAATATTTTTAAGACCCGGGCAACACCGGGTACTTCCCACTAGTTAACTCTATTTCAAGATAATGGCGGCCCGCCGCTCACGATGGTCATTTCCAGTGGCGGCTCCTGCAAAATCTCTCAGGGGGGGCAAATGTCTGGATGATTGATAAGGATAAGGTCCACCCATGCAATGGATAAATTAACAGCTTAAGCATGTAAAGGCAACTTCACTTCTTTAATATTAATGAAAAATAAAGTGACTCTTACAATACATCTTGTTTGTTTCTATACTAACTATTAAAACAAACCACTCAAGTTTCTTTTATTAAAGATTCCACTAGGTGGCGACAAATTATATTGTTGGATGAAACGTGCTTACGTATGATGACGTAAGCACGTATGATGACGTAAGCATGTTAGGGCGAGCCCTCCCGGAAGCCATAGAGAATGCATTGCAGCGCCCCCGTTCGAAAAAAAACATCTTTGAATGTAAGTCTATGGGGCCACTCGGGGCGATTCTCAGCTGGAGGGAAATCGCCCAAAAAGAGGCGGTACTCCACAGAACGTAGCATGACGCTGATTGGACTATATCCAGAGGCACAGTGACGGCTAGCGTGACTCTGTGGTTGAATGACATTGGTGGTGCGTCGCCCAATCGCCCTAATGAAGAAACCGCCCCTGGTCATTTCTGTAGTTGGGTGGATTCACAATGGTCATGTCTTTGGGTGGGTGGGTTCACGATGGACATGTCTGTTCATATGTGGGTTCATGATGGTCATGTCTGTGGGTGGGTGGGTTTACGATTTTTGTTTCGGTGGGTGGGATCACGATGGCCGTGTCTATGTGTGGGTGGGTTCCCAATGGCCGTGTCTGAGTGTGGGTGGGTTAACGATGGCCGTGTTTGTGGGTGGGTTCACGATGGTCATATATGTGGGTCGTTGGTTCAGGATGGCTGTGTCTTTTGTAGGGTTAGTGGGTTCCAGAAGGCCTTCTCTGTAGGTGGGTTCACGATGGCCATGTCTACGGGTGGGTGTGCTCACGATGGCGGTTTCTCTGGGTGGGTGGACTCACGAATGCTGTGTCTGTGGGTGGATTCACGATGGCTATGCCTGTTGGTGGGTGGGTTCACGATGGACGTGTCTCTGGGTTGGTGAGTGGGTTCACGATGGCCATGTCTCTGGGTGGGTGGCTGGGTGGATTCACGATGGCCGTGTCTGTGAGTGGTTGGTTCACGATGGCCGTGTGTTTGGGTGGGAGGGTGGGAAGGAGGCCACAACTTGACAAGAGAAAATTTGCATTGTTTGAATTGACACAATAAATATCATAAAAGTCAATGATTTGAGAAATAATGGGAGGTATTTAGAGATAATGGTTAAGGATTTGAATACAGAAGCCCTGTACATCCACAGCATTTCCCTACCCATTTTATTTAATGGAACACAGTTCTACTGATTGAAGTAATAAAGTAAAATGGCAAATTAAATGTACAATAGTATAGTCTATACACACAATGTGTAGCCACCATTTAATGTCTAGATGTGCAAATGCATGCGTTTGTTAAAATGTATGCATTGCATCTCTTCACTAATGTTACTGAATAAAATGGACGAAACATGGCATTATTCACTTATAATTTCTACTTACTGCCTGTTTACATACATGCTTGTTTAATTTCATCATAGGTAAAACCCATTTGAGCTCTCCATTCTTTTTTTCAATGGGACAATGGTTATAAAACCTACCTACACCGATTTGCATACTTACATAACATACTGCCTAACTAACTTTTTACGTCAGTGCCAACCAACTTCTTATCTTCCTGTCGACCTACCTATCTCACCGAAAACTAAACAATGTTTTTACTAATTTTTTCAGAAGCGACCTGGTCACAAATGATAGCTCAACGAAGTGGTGCATCATGTGGAAGTGTATAGTAGCCAAATACTACAAATGCATGTTTTAAATGTGGAAGGAAACCCGGAGAAAAAAACTATTCGACCACGAGGAGAACATGCAAACTCCACATATACAGGCGTCAGGATTGGGATCGAACCCGCGCCCTCCAGTATATCAGGTGAGACATTTAACATATCGCTACCTACCTTCCCCTACTGCCTATCTTCCTGCTTCCATACGCTCTGACCTACCCACCTATTTGCCTAAGTATTCATGGCATGTACAGAGGTGATTGTCAGTTGCTCTTTCCATTGGCTGCTTTGCGATCGTCTGGGTTAAGCATTATGCAAAATCCCTGGGCTTATAATGAACAGCACACACGGGCAAAAAGACAGCCCGGCCAGCAATCTAGTGGCTCCTCACACTTTGCCCCCTTCTCGAGGCGATCAGATTTGCACTCGTCCACACGGTAAGACCTTGCGTTGCTGCAATGCGCAAATATCATTATCGGCAGGCCATTCTGTTCTGCTACAAAGAAGGGCGATTTGAAGGGCCATTGCCTATTATATATAGTAGTGTTTTTCTGTGTTTTCACTTTTAGGGAGCGTTATTGACAAATGTGTTGAATTGTTGTTATTTGTTCTGATAGTGATGTAAAGTATTTATTCAGGACTGCATAACCGAGTCTCGAAAATATTCCACAGAAGGCTGCTGCTACTCACGAAGACGTGTATTACATGTGAAATAAAACTAAGTCATTGGAGACAACTCCCACGTTTGTTAGTGTACTCATATCGACTACACTATACGAGTATAGATGTTTAGGTGCATGTACACAGTTTACAACCACCGTGTATGCTAATCGGCCTTTTGTGCTCATGTTCAAAGGAACATCGAGTTCCGATTGTCTTCCTTGGCGTGGATCTGATGCACATGCAGTTTCGCACATAAGTAAATCAATTGTGATTTGCCAGAACTGGCAAGAACACAATTTCTGCTGCGCCGTCTAATTGCCAGTGGGGTATACAGCATTGGTTTAATTGCACGTTTGATTCAATATCTGTTTTCCTTTCAGCTTTTTTTCGTTCTTTATTTTAACCGAAAGACGAGGAGAACTTCCCCTCCCCTTCAAAGGCTGGAGGTGCAGTTTTGTTCGCGAGCTCTTGATTACCTTTCCTATGATTTTCGCTCCTATCGGTATATTTTTTTATGATAAGCCACTTCGTTGAGCTAGCGTTTATGGTCAGGTTCGCTTCTGAAAGATAAGTTAATACCTCATTTTGGTTTTACCTGGCAAGATAAAAAAAAATGTTTTAGTTTAATTTGTATATTTTTTTGTAATTTGTTTACCTTTACTTTACTTTGCACTCCAATCGTTTTTTTACATTGTTTTTTTTTTACCCACCCCGACTGGACATTTGTAAAAAAAAGAGCTTTGCAGCTCATCGGATTTCTCCAGGATAAATAAAGATTATGATTATGATGGGGAGAATGGTGGTGTCTGTGTGTGGACCTAAGCCACCCGTGTAGCACGCACACGGGACTTGCTCACGCGCGCAGCACACGCACTGCCGTGTGTATATATAATGTATAGGCCTTGCCGTATAGGCCTACGTTATAGTGAAGTGTCGATGATGAATGTGGTTGAGGACTTGTTTTTTTCTTTTGTGCTATCTATAGCTGGCAAACGTTGCATGAGTATTAAAACTCAACTATTTGTATTTTTACAGGTAAGCCTCACTGAGATATTTCGCTCTTTTTCAGAAGCGACCCTGCCACAAATGATAGTTAAACGAAGTGGCTTATTGCGTGGAAATTTACAGAAGCCAAATACTCAAAACTAATGTTTCTAGAGTGGAGAGGGAAAACCCAGAGAACCCGGAGTAAAGTCCAAGCGACCACAGGGAGAGAGACGCAAACTCCAAACTATACAGGCGTCAGGGTCAGGCTCGAACCGACGACCTACTGTATAACACGTAGGCTTTCGCGACCAATATTATTCATAATCAACGTTTTTGGATTTAGATCGCGTTATTTATAAATGTGTCGTAACCCTCCACCACCCGACACGGCCAATCAGTAAAAATGTGTCACGTTGACAAAGGACAATTAGTTCACTGCTTTAGCATCATCGGGCAATTGCCCGATGATGCTGGATGCAATTACCAGCGAAACGTCGTACTCAAATTGTAAATGTTGTGGTTTCACGCTTAAACACACCGGTGGGCTAAAGCAGTGAACTAATTGTCCTTTGTCAACGTGACACTTTTTTACTGATTGGCCGTGTCGGGTGGTGGAGGGTTACGACACATTTATAAATAACGCGATCTAAACCCAAAAACGTTGATTATGGACCTACTGTATACCAGGCGAGATAGTTAACATCTCGGCACCGGGTGGCACTCCTGACATACCCGACACATGAGTATGTGTCTGTTATGTCAGAGTTGTGCAAGTGAGGCAATAACCAGCCATAAACACGCAAGAAGCCTCGCGTTTGCTGCCATCCCAGGTGCCCTGTAGACCGCTGCAGAGTAACACGCTCCTCCAGTCACCGATGGATAGTGGGGTTGAAAGGTCAAGCTCTCCCTGGGATGCGAGGTCGTGCATGACCAACGTACTATTATTAGTAGTAGTACAATAACGAGGGTTTATCTTGGATTGATAGCTCCACTTGTCTACGGGACACAGCGCAGGCGTTGTTACTGGAGCTGAAGGCTGCAAACAAAAGCCATAATCGTACATCGCATTAATTATTAACAGCGAGTGCGAGATAGTTTTTTTTTGCACCTTCTGACAGTTGGGCCATTAACGGAGGTTGCATTGCAACTCGCACAAGTGTCTGTCCGCGTATTTAATTACGCTCGAGCATCGGCGGCCTAAAGCCCACGGCCACCTTATTCTAGCTCCTACGGAGGGCTTCTCGTCGCCCCCATTGATGTCCTCCTGCCACCCGTTTTTTTTGCTTTGATTATTTCCCCCAAAAATAATTATTTAACATTTTTATTTTTTAGTTGTTGTTTTCTATCTCCGTGACTACCCGAAAGAACCAAGAATATGAATACTAATGACTCTCGATTTAAAGCTTTCGTGACTGCAGGGATTCATCTTCTTGGTTCTTTCGGTAAAGTCACGTAGAATGGAAATAATAAAATAATAAAAATTAAATATAATAAAATAGTTCTCACTGTGAGAATAATAAAATAAAAAAATAAAACATAATAACATTATTCTCACAGTGAGAATTATTTTATTATTCTCACAGTGAGAATTATTTTATTATGTTTTATTTTTAATATTTTATTATTTCCATTCTACGTGACTTTACCGAAAGAACCAAGAAGACTAATGACTCTATTGTATGTAGGGTATCTGGACATATATGCCTGAAACATATTTTTTGGGGGGGGGGAGGGGGGGGTCGACAATTATTGAACACCTGTTGGATCAACTTTTTACCATTACATCTGGTGGGGGAGGGGTCCACTTTCTATGCCTTTTTTTTTATTCAAGCCTTCTGAAATGCTCTCTTATCATTTTAGTTGATGGACAAACGGATAAACCAAAACTCCGGGCTTTAATAATAGATAATGAATTTAATAAGTGGTTAAATATCTTTGGATTTATTCAAGTGTTGCCAGTCACACTACCTTCACCACGAGAGCATAACTCAACGCAAAGGGTGATTGCTCACTCATGAGGATCAATAGGTATGATGCATGTCTTCAGCTCAATGCCGAGTTTATGAGGACTCAGTCTACCAGAGTGGCTGTTCTCTTTCCTAGCACTGCTCCACTTTGGAATCCCTTCCCATCATCGCATTTCCCAAGTTGTTAAAAAAAGAACTGTGCTCAATTCAGCCAATCGTGAATGACATCTGTCATATCTTCAATAGCTTTGTTTGTTATTGACTGTTTGGCATATTAGGGCCTTTGGGCCTGTGCTCAGCAAGCAACCATGATTAAAATATACGTGATGTTCACCGTGTGTATATCTTACACGCACGCTGTAGCATTCTTGCACTCGCATGCATTTCTCCAGATTGCGTTGCGGTTTCTGAAACTTCATTACACTTTATTGCACGCGGTGCAGGATTTACACTCTTGCCAATCATCCGAATCCTGCAATGTGTCGTGTAATTACTTCATTTGCATTTGAATGGAGAAGGCTGTGGTAGAGTTTAAAGCCGGCCAGTGGAGGGCAATGGTAATGGTGTGTGAGACACATGCTTAGAGACTGCCCTAGAAACCGTTGTGATTCACAAGTACATTACACACATATGTAGCAGTGCAGTGTGGTTGGCATGGGGCATTGGTGCAAAGTACAATAATAATAACCTCTATTTAACATAGCGCCTTTCATATTGAAAAATCCCAAAAGCGATGTAAATAAACATAAAACTACAGTCACAGGTTAAGATGAAATCTAAGCGACATAGAAAGCGTATAATAACAATATCAATGACTATACTCGAATACAATTAAGAACGAGGATGAAACCGAATCATAGTCTAAAAGTAATCCAATCGGACAACATTTTTTTGTTGGTATCTTAAGTTACGGGGAAAGGCTGCAGTATAAATAGGCGAGTTTTAAGACGGTGATTTAAAAAACTGAAACAGTCTCAGAATCCCTCATGGACCGCGCAAAGAATGAAATAAAGTAACCATTGCGTGCCTGTGCAGTTGCACGGCCTTCACACTCAATATAAATTCCACCGGCTCACGCATACCTTCATCACATTCATGTCTAGCTCTTCTCCGGTATCCGTGTAGCTCTTTGCAAATGAGGTCACTTATTTTATAATGGTTTTGCAAATGTTCTGCGACAGAAATCTAAATATAATTGAAGGAAAATTACGATTCACCATTGGAGTTCGTCTTTGGCACGGGTGTAGTTGCCACATTGAACATTATGCTACACATTTGATGTGAGTTTTGTTGCTAACACTAAAAACTGTCGTTTCATGGCAATTGCATTAAGCTGCACCGTACAAAATAAAATAAAAAGTTGTTTTGTCAGGAACATTGCTCTGTATGTGTGTATATATACACACATATATGTGGAAAGCGGTAGTGTAGCGGTCAGCACGCCGCACTACGAACCCGGCGACCCGAGTACGATTCCCGCTCATGGCCAGCACTAGTGATGATTATCTGAACCGGTCCTGGGTCTCCCCTAGGTCGACACAGCCTCAAATTAGTACCGAGTGCGGTGTGTAAACATTGCAACTGGGGAGACAAAGGGGGCCGGGTATGGTGTTGGCCATCCACCCCATCGTGTGCTGTGCCGACCTTCATAGGTGCTCGCTTGCTTACAGCACTTGCCCCAACAGCCTGTTAAGGCTATACGGGGGATCTTTGTAGAATACTGTATTTTATCTGTGTGTATGTGTACACATCATCATAATAATGTATGTGTGTACACATAACGGAATGCAAATTTATTATCGTCTGCAGTGAGTCGACTT